TAAAATCTCAATTCCATCTTGAACGTTTCATCATTTGTTGTGCCAGTACTGCTATGGTCAATTGTGGAGAAACGTGTTTTAACGCTGTGCTGTTTCTATCGACTCACAGAAACATCTTGGACTATTTGAAATCATTCCTAGAATGATTGTTTGGGATTTGTCTGTTTTGGAGTGGTCTTACTCGATCACCACTTGACTTTCGCCATAACATGGACCACTGTAAACCTTGTCATTCTTATTTTCATTCAGTACTCCTCACTTATTTTTATTCAGTACTCCTCACTCATTTTCATTTAGTACTCCTCACTTATTTTTATTCAGTACTTCTCACTTATTTTCATTCAGTACTCCTCACTTATTTTTATCAGTACTCCTCATTTATTTTAATTCAGTACTCCTCACTTATTTTTATTCAGTACTCCTCATTTATTGCTCGCCCATTTTTCACTGAGTCCAAGTACACGCTTCCCGACCCGGGGATTGAACTCGTATTTATTATTTTAGCAAATTCACAAACCAAAGCTTTAATCCGCAAGCTCACTGTCCCGTAGGACAGTTCCCTGTAAGTTAACCTGATCGATATGCATCCTAGGAAGACCGGAGCTCACAACAGCCGAAACTTTATGACAACACCACCAACAAAGATGAGTACAATAGTCCTAATATAAACGCTTGTTTGGTGTTTGAAATAATTTTATCTCCATTTAATTATTATTATTATTATTATTATTATTATTATTATTATTGTTGTTGTTGTTGTTATTATTATTATTATTATTATTATTTCCTTGGGTTTCGGGTGTATACACATTTTCTTCCGAGTCTCAACCAGAGATTTAAGGTCAGAAATAGGTTCATGATATTTTCCATTGATCAAAAAGAAAACACACGCACACAATTTATATAAAGCTCTTCGAAATTTGTGAAAGGTACTTGTGAGTACAATAATTTGTATTTCCTTAAGGCATGGTCTAAAGTAATCTGTTCAATGAGGCTATTGAAATCATTTTCCAATCATCCCGAGGTCTGCAACTAGAAGTGTAATTACTGGTGTCCTTATGCGCTACACATTTGAGATTTATATTTGAAGATCCTTGAATTTTGATCTTTAAATATACGTTACAATCTTGCAAGGGCTGCTATGTGATATATATATATATATATATATATATATATATATATATATATATATATATATATATATATATATATATATATATATATATATATATATATATATATATATATGAGGCTCTCAGGCTCAGGCTGTTTAAAGCACTAAACAGCCTCTCGCCTCTGAGTGTTGACTTAACTGTTCACTTTTATAATTACATACGCTCTATCTCTGATATTGAATACTTTATCCCATAAATATAGCACGCCTTAAAACTATATTTTTTTTATATATATATATATATATATATATATATATATATATATATATATATATATATATATTCCTGGTTTAATAAAATGGCCGCCAATACTCTAATGATTATGGGCAACGGGATCGTATTCGACAATTTCTATGCACACTTGTTTTCAATCCATTCCTCATGGCCTTAATTCCAGTCATCGCATGATTTTTCCTTATATCGCGACAATTTTGATTGAAGTTCTTTTTATTTTTATTTCAAATGAAAACTTACAAAATTTACAAGTATATTACAGTTACATTTTTTTTTATATCAAGCTTTAATTATAGTTATGAGGACATGTAACTGAGGCGAAAACAATTGTCCAGAATCAAAGTTCAGAGTCCAAACAAAAAAAACTCCAAAACGAAAAAAAGCAAAAGTAAAGTTCTCAATGCATAAATAAAGCAAATCTAACTATGAACCTAAAGAGCCAGGCAAAGCTACCTAGGTTTCACCTATGCGGATCGTTAGGGTACCCTGGCCAACGTACCCTGACGATCCGCGTAGGTGAAACCCAGATAGGTTTGCCTGACTCTTTAGGTCCATATATATATATATATATATATATATATATATATATGAAGAAAAATATACGGAAAAACAAACAAAAATCCTATTGCACTTTTAATGTTAAATAATGTCAACGTCGGAAGTTTCGGTCTAATAGATCATCTTCAGGACATATTCATAAAACATAATTAACATATATATTCAATTCAACATGAATAAGACGATGGACACGAGAGCAAGACTAATCCAAAAAGATAACTGAATTTTTTTTTTTATAAGATCAGCGTTCCGTTTTAATATGATCACGTCGTCGTCACGTGGGCGATGTTGTGAAAACGTATTCGAAGACGGTTTCAAAATATTAGATAAGCTCGATTGAACGATTTTCTCATATAAACCGTTCGTTAAGAAATCCTTTCTGTTCTTATAGGAATACGCGGAGATCAATAGCTTCTTATATTTTCGTATAAGCTTGAAGTATTCCATGTTGAAAAGTAAATTCAGGTTTGTATTTCCAGTAGACAGTATGTAAGCAAATATATGGATATAGATCTGACAGTATGAAGAAAAATATAGGGAAAAACAAATGAAAATCCTAGTATGCAATTAGACCGGAACGTCCGACGTTGACATTATATTAACATTAAAACAGCATGATTTCATCTCTCTTTATGACCACCGAAATTAGGCACAACTCTCTTCCTTCTCACTCTATGACCAACGAAATTAGGCACAACTCTCCTCCTTCTCTATGACCACTGAAATTAGGCTCAACTCTTCCTTCTCACTCTATAACCACCGAAATTAGGCAAAACTTACTTCCTTCTCTCTATATGACCACTGAGATTAGGCACAACTCTCTTACTTCTCTCTCTATGACCACCGGAATTAGGCACAACTATCTTTCTTCTCTCTCTATGACACCGAAATTAGGCACAACTCTCTTCCTTCTCTCTCGATGACCAACGAAATTAGGCAAAACTCTCTTCCTTCTCTCGCTATGGCCACTGAAATTAGGCACAATTCTCTTCCTTCTTTCTCGATGACCATCAAAAATTAGGCACAACTCTCTTCCTTCTCTATCTATGACCACCGAAGTTAGGCACAACTCTTTTCAATCTCTATCTATGACCATCGGAATTAGGCACAACTCTCTTCCTTTTCTCTCTATGACCATCGAAATTAGGCAAAACTTACTTCCTTCACTCTATATGTCTACTGAAATTGGGCAAAACTTACTTCTTTCTCTATCTATGACCACCGAAATTAGGCAAATCTCTCTTCTTTCTTTATGACCACTGAAATTAGGCACAACTTTCTTCCTTTTCTATATATGACCACCGAAATTAGGCACAACTATTTCCTTCTCTCTCTATGACCACCAAAATAAGGCAAAATTGTCTTCCCTTTCTGTCTTTTACCAACGAATTTAGGCACAACTCTCTTCCTTCTCTATATATGACCACCGAAATTAGGCAAAACTCTCTTCCTTCTCTCTCTATGACCACCAAACTAAGGCAAAACTATCTTCCTTCTCTCTCTATTTCCACCGAATTTAGGCACAACTCTCTTCCTTCTCTATGACCACTGAAATTAGGCACAACCCTCTTCCTTTTCTCTATATGACCACCGAAATTATGCAGAACTCTCTTCCTTCTCTCTCTATGGCCACTGAAATTAGGCACAACTCTCTTCTCTCTGTCTCCATGAACAACGAAATTAGGCAAAACTCTCTTCCTTCTCTCGCTATGGCCACTGAAATTAGGCACAACTCTCTTCCTTCTTTCTCGATGACCATCAAAAATTAGGCAGAACTCTCTTCCTTCTCTCTCTATGACCACCGAAATTATGCAAAATTTACTTCCTTCTCTCTCTATGACCACTGAGTTTAGGTACAACTCTCATTTTCTCTCTCTATGACCACCGAAATAAGGCACAACTATCTCCCTTCTCTCTCTATGACCAGAAAAATTAGGCAAAACTATCTTACTTCTCTGTCTATTACCACCGAATTTAGGCACAACACTCTGCCTTCGCTATGACCACTAAAATTAGGCACAACTCTCTTCCTTCTCTATCTATGACCAACGGAATTAGGCACAACTATTTTTCTTCTCTCTCTATGACCACCAAAATTAGGCTCAACTCTCTTCCTTCTCTCTCGATGACCACTAAAATTAGGCACAACTCTCTTCCTTTTCTATCTATGACCACCGTAATTAGGCACAGCTCTCTTCCTTCTCTATGTATGACAACTGAAATTAGGCACAACTCTCTTCCTTCTTTATGACCACCGAAATTAGGCTCAACTCTCTTCCTTTGCTCTTTATGTCCACCATAATTAGGCACATCTCTCTTACTTCTCTCTTTATGACCACGGAAATTAGGCACAACTGTCTTCTTTCTCTCTCTATGACCAACAGAATTAGTCACGACTCTCTTCCTTCTCTCTCTATGACCACTGAGATTAGGCACAACTCTCTTCCTTCACTCTTTATTACTAACGGAATTAGGCACACCTCTCTTCCTTCTCTATGAACACCGAAATTAGGCCCAACTCTTTTCCTTCTCTCTCTATGTCCACCATAATTAGGCACAACTCTCTTCCTTCTCTCTTTATGACCACTCAAATTAGGCACAAATGTCTTCTTTCTCTCTCTATGACCAACAAAATTAGTCACGAATCTCTTCCTTCTCTCTCTATGACCACTGAGATTAGGCACAACTCTCTTCCTTCTCTCTTTATGACCAACGGAATTCGGCACAACTCTCTCACTTCTCTCTATGTGATCACCGAAAATAGGCACAACTCTTCCTTCTCTCATAGACCACCTGAATTAGTTACAACTCTCTTACTTCTCTCTTTATGTCCACCGAAATTAGGCACAACTCTCCTCCTTCTCTATCTATTACCAGCGAAAGTAGGCACAACTCTCTTCCTTCTCTCTCTATGGCCACTGTGTTTAGGCGCATCTCTCTTCCTTCTCTCTTTATGACCACTGAAATTAGGCACAACTCTCTTTCTTCTCTCTCTATGACCACCGAAATTAGGCACATGTCTCTTCCTTCTCTATGACCACTGAAATCAATCACAACTCTCTTCCTTCTCTCTCTATGACCACCGAAATTAGGCAACGTCGAGTCCGCCCCCCCCCGTAGCTAGATATGTTTGGAATACGAGTGGCTGTAATCTTGGATGTGTGTGTGGTGTAACTAATGACGTCTCGAGATTTGAGAGCGGTGTGCCTATTTCCAATTCCTGCTGGGTTCGTTGTATTCACTTTCGCGCAATTAGCCTTGTATTAATCAACCCGTTCTCCCCTCACTCAGCTCTGGATAAATTAGGGAGTCATTTAATGAAGCATTATTATTAATTCCGTAGAAAATATTTACTTTTCGACATCAATAATCCATAAAGTCTGATATGCCTCTAAACAAAACAACCAACCAATCTTCACTCTCACAATTTATTACCTTTTGCTTATTTTGAAAAATCGGTGATTTGAGTTTATTTCAAATCGCATGTTTCCAAAACTGTGGTTTTATTTTATTTCCATTTTCAGTGTATTCTATCGGAAAGGATTTAAAAAAAAAAAAAAAAAAAAAAAAAAAAACGAGGTCGCCTATTTTGCGCATTAAAATATATTCATTCGACTGTTTTGTTGTCTATAAAATCGAATAAACATTCCATTTGAATAGACGGAAGATTTCTAAAAAAGAAAAAAAGAAAAATGATTCACGGAGTCATTTTTGAAAAGACACTATAAAAACACAGAGACAGAAATATTTCAAAACACTTCCATCGAAAGTCAGTTTATTTGTTATTTTCCTTTATAAGATATTGTATCGAACGTTAGATAGATAAGTCAGGATTTTATCAAAATAAGTCATACATATGTATAGAATGAAATTCGTTGAAAAAATATCATTTACGCCTGAATTCCTTTGAATTAATCACGTTTCAAACCCGTCTCTCAGCGAAGTATATCATATTATAGAATTAATCATAAATGCTTAATTATCGCTATTATGGCGGCTCCGCTATAAAATTAAAAAAATCTGAGAATAGAAAATAAGAAACTTGAACATAGAATAGACTGTTGTATGTATATTTTTGCTCAAAACTTCAAATATCTCCAAAGCCAAAGTATTAACCCAAAAACTAACCATATTTTTAAACACTATCGTCATATCCAGACCTTCATATGGATATCATGCGTGTCATCAAACTCGTTAAGAAATATCTAAACTGACAGCTGTATTATACCGCATTCTCAGATCGATAATTAAAAATATCTTCAAACTAATGAACTCTCTACGTTTTAGAGTTGACCATATTTCTTCGAGAATCGTGAATTAGCATTAAAGAATCATAGACTGTAGCAAATATATAGGCCAGATCCCTTCAACTAAAATGAATGGCACACGTAACTCGAAAATAGAATAATGACATGATCAATGTATTGACGTTCCACATGACTTCGAACAAATGGTGAGAAAGGAAACTTAATCTGTATTAGAAAGAGTAATAACATATAATGTATGTGAAAATTCTATTTCTGTGATAGATTGTTTTAATAGAAAGATTTTATGTTTCAAACGATAATAGCACTGACTATCCGGTCAATGGAAGCGGAATGTTTTCACATTGTTAAACGGTTAAACGTCTGTATATTCATAAGTTGGCTACAGAATTTCTCCGCCAGTGGATAACAGCTTCAAGGCATAACTATTTATTCTACTGGAAAGTAATGCCACGGCAATAGGTTATTAGAAACTGGTTCTGAATAATTATTTGCTTGTTTATTTATTAGTTTCTTTCATCGTTCCATGCTTCCTGTCTTGCTTGCTTTGTCTGAAAAAGAGTATCTCAATTAAAAAAAAAAAAAAGACTGGAAGTAGTCCCGAGAATACGCTCTTAAATTAATAATGAGAAAGTATTTATCGTATCTAACGAATATTTCTTTTTCAGCGTCAACCATATTGTTTATGCTCTTAACATATTTTCGTCTCTATGAGACGACTTGAGCATAATACAGCCCTATGTTTCTGAAGCTAAAGTCGGAATAGATTATATCCTTGATTATTACAATTATCCCTTTGTATTGTTTTTTTTTTAGTTGTAGAATATTACCCGATAAAATCTGTGTATATTTCTGAGGAGGTATTATGTACACTACTTCGTTTCGGCCGTTGTACGCCCCAGCCTTCCAACCACCTGAAGAAGACCGGAGTGTACAACCTGCCAAAACGATGTAATAACTATGGCGACAAAGATAAGGACAATAGTCTGAATAATGTAAATAGCCGATAAAATCTATATATACGACTAAATTATTTAATTTCTCACAATATTAGAGAAATGACTCGGATGTTTAATCGTTGTGTGTTTTTCTCATAATTTCGAAACTTATTGTCACATTTTTATAACTGTTCGTATTTGCACTTTTGTAATTTAAAATATATACGTATATTTTTTAACTGGGTGTACTTGTGAATATATATAGCTCATAATGAAAGCGAAATATCCAAATTAGAGAAAAAAAATGGAGTAAAAATCCCATTAAGTTAGAGCAATCTCTCCATTTATTTTTTATATGGGATTTAAAAATGTTTTTATTATAATCTCTCATATTATAAATATTCTCTCTCTCTCTCTCTCTATATATATATATATATATATATATATATATATATATATAATGGACTCTTCCGTCGGTTTCGACGTATGAAGATCTGACAGCTTATTGATTCAGTTATGAAAGCTTATGCGATAATCTTAAGTGGCATTTCAGATCCGCTTGTGATTTGCAAAGGAGGCTACATATGGAGTAAGAGTAAGGATTTTGAGATAATATCACTGTTATATTGGCTGACCTTATAGATCTTGCTCTAGCTTTTTGATGATGATTCAGACAAGCAGATTGAAAATTGCTGAGTCCACTAAAACACGTTGATCTCCATTCTACCCGCTCCAAGGCTAAGCGCTTAAGGGTGTTATGTGATATATTGACTGCTGACAAGTTGCTTTTCAGCTTGTCTTTGTATTTTAGCTATGGGCATCCTACATTCCTGTAGCCCTGATCTAACTGGCTGTACATTAGGATCTTATTTTCTATTACATTCATGTTTATGCATTCTTTTTATAGATAAAAATATTTAAGTAAATGGTCTGTTTATAATAAACAGTATTAAACAACATTTACCGGCCTGAATATTTCTGTGAAAATTTCTCGGACATTCAGGCCGGTTAATGTTGTTTAATACTGTTTATTATAAACACATAGCATTTACTTAAATATCTGTATCTATAAAAAGAATGTATAAACATAAAAATATCTTAATATATATATATATATATATATATATATATATATATATATATATATATATATATACATATATATTCCAGACTCTGAAATCCCTATCTAAATGTGTTTCTAAGACTCTAATGATTATAGGCAACACCGTCATGTTCACAATTTCAATGCTCGAAATAGAATAATATATTCTCCTCCAACTTAGTCTGGACATCATCTATCCTGGGCTGATCAATAAAAGGATACCAGTGGAGATAAAAATAAAAGTGATTTTTTTTTAAACTTTAAAAATTCAGAAATTTATATGATTCTATTGAATTTGAATTTTGTGACAATTATTAATCAGGCAAATCGAATATTATACAGAACAAATTTCCCATTAAATGTCACATAATAAAATAAAGTTTCAGAATCGAGACAATTAATTAATCTTAGTTTATATTTGTCGATGCGCTGTAGACATAAGAAAAATAAAAATGATACATCTAGAATCACAGCGAAATTTAAAAAAAAATATGAATAAATCGTGGGTCCCATAGCAGTAAGTTTTTAGTTGAAATAAAAGAAAATAAGAAAGATCATCTATCACAAAGGGCTTCGCGAATTTAACGAGTCCCAATAATTTTTCCAAACATTAATCACAAATATAACCCCAAATCCTAAGTGTAAACGAGAGTCGGCTATAAAATATCTAGATCTCTAAATAAATCAAATAAACCACATTCAGTGAGATTATACTGTCCTATTCCTCTTGACTCTCTCCACTAACTAATATTTACGGCCACAAGTCAAGTTCGCTCTGAAAGAGCGTTAATGTGAACTCTCAAATGATTTCAAGTCTCAATTATTGTATGATGTCGGGTAATTTGGTCTGGAAGTGCAAAGGCACTGTTTAAAGGTCTTTCCTGAAATTGAGTCATAAATTTGTAGGAAATTGAACGGCGTCTTTTCTGTAGATGCTGCAAATGGCCCAAGTGAAGATTTTAGCCGTTATATCCCGGATAATTCCCTAAATCTATCATTACAGTTATCCTCTACATACTTAACGGTCATTCCAATTTGACAGCAAAGACGCTACAGCTACGACATGAGTGTTTTTGGTTTGCTTGTTTTTATTTATTTATTTACTTTTGCAATCTCTCTGAATGATGAAACCTATCTAATGTTAAATCGATTACGATTTAACCTTCAAAAGGCGGGGAAATATTACCTGAGTGCGCACACCAAGGTAGCGAAAAACTGGAAAATTCATTTTTAAAATATAGACATTTTGATATTTTTGCTTTATTCTCTGATATAAACACACACTGTCTGCGTGTGAATTTGTATCCGCGTATATAAAGTACGCTTGTATATCTGTTGTGTGAGTGTGACGTGTTCCAATCAAAGGTACAGACAAGCTCACACACATGTACATAATTTAATTGAGTTTAAAATAAGACATTGAAATAACACATTAAGTTATTTTTTAAGCTCTAAAAATTCAGATATTTATGAATTTATTGAATTTTTCAGAAAGTATCGATAATAAATGGAATCAATATTTACATTATTCGGACTATTTTCCTCATCTTTGTCGCCTTATGGTAATATGGTGACAAAGATGAAGACAATGGTCCGAATAATGTACATAGTGTACATAATATCTCATCTCAGAATTATAGAGAGCTACCAGATGGCATCATATTTGAAAGCTTTAAAATATTAGAAATATTTTAAAGGTCTGCATTGATTTGAAATATACAGGCACCAACGCAAACATAGACAGTCATTTTGAATGAAACTGAAATGATCAATTGTGTCAAGTGAACTAATTTTCTGTTTTGACTGGCAACAACCCTGCTTAACAGGAAAAGCGTATAAGCCGGATCTTAGACGTCCCAGTTTAGCTTCTTGTTGACACCAGCATTATCCGGTTTCCTTTTGGGTACCACTGTCAATTTTTACAGTCACCTTGATATCGGAGGACATTGTGAAAGGAGACATCAATTATGGGGTGAATGATTTTTATGTCGATTTACAGAGAAATTATTTTAGACGTAATTTATCATCTTGTAGAGGGCCGTGGCTGTTATGCTGTTGATAGAAGTCAGACGTAGAAGAAACGCAAGTAAGGTTCAGATACTCCTGCCCGCCGAGCCCAACTACATAAAAAGGTTGGACTTTGATTAAGTCCAAAGAAGAAGGCAAAAAAAACAAACAAAACACAAGACCGATAATATATGTATATACAAATATATATTAATAACAAGTTACAATACATGGAAACAGTACAAAGGATGAAGTGTATGGGAATATTCTGTATGTGCGTGTGTGAATATTCTATATGTGCGTGTGTGTGTATTGTGCTTAGCCTTTTCCACGCTATCCCTTGTTAACGTCTACATTTCGAGGTTGATAGCTGAAATCCTGAGGAAAAGGAGAGATTTACCTCAAGGTGTCGGCGCACAGGCCTGAGGGAAAAAGAGAGAGAGAGAGGCGAAGGGTCCGCGGCTATTTATAGCTGCGAAGAACGACCCCTGGTGAAAGGTTTAATGTACTAAAGGAGGAGTTAACTCCGATAATCTGTCCATTTATGAAGCTATTTCCCCGTATTTTCCTGATAAATTGACGTATATTCATAACTGAGAGTACATTTATTCTTCTGCAGTTGGTCTTACATGATTCAGTGTACAGTTTGGTGGAAAAGATTAAATGTTGCAGGTAGCTTTGTTTCTACGCCTTCCATTCCATATGCCCGACTGTAATTTATACGCATCTCTATATAAAACGTCCAGCTCTATTTTTATATTTCTATGGCATTGTCAAATAAACTGTGAGCAACTGAATGTAGGCACCATCTAACAATCATTCAGATAAACCCTAACACTAAGTATTGATTAGAATGCTTACAACGTGTAGTAAATTTCAGTACGTCCAAAAGTAAACAAGTATCGTTCACCACTTCATTTTCACTTATCGGAATGTATGAGTCTTCTCACGACGAGGCTCAATGCCTTGGTAATCAATTGGGTTTCAAACACTCGACAGCTCATATATACGCCCTATTAAATATGATGGAAAAATGATCGGTTCATTGTACCGCTCACTTAAGTATATCTGACCCCATGCTATACTTCCTCTTACAGGAGCCAGCTTGGGCAAAAAAATGGAGTATTGCTGCCCTAACAGTGCGAGAGCTTCTCAGTCTTCATCTGTCTGTCTTGAGTACGAAGATGACTACGCGGGCTTGTATGTGACAAATAATTTACCACCCGACAACTCCTTCCCGACATCGTTATTTCCATGGCATGTGTTCATACGAGCTACATACCTCAGTTCCACTAACAGGGAACTTTACAACTGGCCGCTGCTATGCCACGTACACAAGAGTGAATCATCTTAATTTCCTTCATAGTCCACTAGCAAGTATCTTCAACATGGACAGCTTCTCTCGATAAAAGACCGACACCCGAGAGAAAGTTTTCCCAGTCTCTACAATATTGTTTTTTGTTTTTTTTTTTCAAATTTAGGTTTAACTGTTACCTTTTCCAGCACAAACCCATTAATGTTCGAAAATGTGTGTCACCTTGTGGGTGATGAATCATTTTTCACCATATAACCAAATACGGAACGTCGCGAGCCTCTCCCTACGCTATCGCTGTTTTCATAAAGAGTTCTGACGAGCTACATTTCCACCAGCGCCGACCTTTGCAACTGGGGAACGACATAACTTGTACACGAGGATAAATCTCCCTCATTTCCTTCGTATTCTGTAAGTAAAAAGCAAGTTCCACGCGGGCAGCTTCTTCCTAAGAGCTGCTGCTTTGTGAAATAGACTTCCAGCAGGATGATTTCACAAACACTACAATCTTGAGTGCTTCCCGTCTCATGGGGGTGGGGATCCGTTAATTTTTCTGCATAACCTCATGACCTCCACATCTTGCAAATTTTTAAACTATACTTTTATATAATATCGACCTATCTCACTCTGTTCACATATATCGATGTAGCAAGCTAGCTCGATGTCTAAACTATCTATCTATCTATCTATCTATCTATCTATCTATCTATCTATCTCAAACTGTTCACATTTATTTATCTAGCTCGCTCACACTATTCTATCTATCTATCTATCTATCTATCTATCTATCTATCTATCTATCTATCACAATATGTTAAAATGTATCTATCGCAATCTGTTCAAATCTATCGATCGGTTTATATTGACCTGTATTCACATCTATATACAGTATTTACATTAGTCGGACTATTGTCCTCATCTTTGTCGCCATATTTGTCACAACGTCAAGGACACATGGCACAGTGGATAAAGGCGTTGTTTAAATCCAGTGACAGACCCAAAGAAGGTGAGTTCAATTCCTGGTTAAGGCAGTGGAGAACTTTCAGAGGGAAAATTAGCAGGAGATAGCTGATAACTGGCATCCATCAAACATGGCAGAAAAGTAGAAAAGTCTACCCCAGTGATCGAAATAAAGGGTTCAGTTCGAAATTCCAAACACCTGAAGAAGTCTGGAACGTACAACGGCCGAAACGTTTTGAGAAATATGGCGACAAAGATGAGGACAATAGTCCGACTAATGTAAATGCCTGTACATAATATCTCATCTCAGAAATATAGACAGACTCACATCTATATATCTTGTCTATGCTATAATGTTATCTATCTGTCTATCTATCATGAACTGGCTACATTTATCTATCTAGGTAGCTATTCTATCTATCTAGTTATTTGTCATACTGTCAGGCTTTTTCTATATGTATCAAATTGACTATCTATTTAACTATACCCGCATGACAGTCCTGACAACCAATCCCACAGACAAAATATCACGAGCCTCTCTATCGTGATTTCCATAATATCTGTTTTGATGAGGCATATTTCTTCATCCCACCAGCTCTGACCATTTGTATCTGTATACGAGGAGGGATCCTCCTCATTTCCGTTGTATTCCATTAGTAAAAATTAACTTCCTCTCAGTCAGCTTCTTCCCAAGAACTGCTGCTTTGTGAAATAGACCTCCATCAGTATGATTTCACAAACTCTACAATGTTAACTGCTTCCCGTCTAGGTGTGAGGAGGGGTATCCGTTAGTTTTTTTTCTGCATAACCTCATGAACTACACCTCTTGCATTTTTTTTTACCTCATATAAGACCTATCTCATTTTGTTCACATATATCAATGGAGTGTTGCTGCCATATCTTCGTAATAGCTTCTAGGCTTTCACCTGTGTGTCTTGAGTCCAAAGCGTCTACGTGGGCTTGTGGGTGAGGAATTATTTACCACTTGACAAGTATTTTCTCACAGACGAAACGTCTCGAGCCGCTCGCTGTTCTGTCGCTATTTCCATGACATGACCTCTGACACGCTAGATTCAACAGTCCCAGCAGCCCTGACCTTTACAATTGGGGCCCGTCATGAAACGTATACAAATATGAATCAACCTCTTAGTATCCCATTAGTCGGAAGGAAATTAAACACGGACAGCTTCTTTTCAAAAACTGATGCTTTGCAGAACGGATTCTCGTCAGGGCACTTTCACAATCACTTTAATCTTGATCTGTCTTGGGTTAAGCTTTACTTTCCTGTGGCACCACAGGAACTTTACTTCTTGCCCTTCGTTTCTTACACAGTAACCTTCTACCTTGAGTATCTCTACCATTGTATAAAATATATACTGGAAATAATGAAACATTATAGCGTTGTTCAATAAAATATAAAAAAAACGGAAAGTCATAATCACAATGGTTTCAGGACGAGCATATATGTAATGTGTTTTCGAACTTTATCCATAGCAGTGTCATCTCAGGCTACCAACACTACTCGTTACTTACGGAAATCATAAGTATTTATATAAATTTTCATACATTATAAAATGGACAAATTCCGACAATTATTTTATGACATTTATTATGTTTAAAAGCTATTTTATAGATAATAATCACGTAAATGCTCTATTTATAATAAATAGTATTAACGACAACTTTTTTTTCTATGAAAATTTCTCGGATATTCAGGCCGGTAAATGGCGTTAATACTGTTTATTATAAACAGAGCGTTTACTTAAATATTTGTATGTATAAAAAGAACGTATAAACATAAGAAATGTCTTAAAATTTGTGACGTCATTTGTTTACATTTGAATACGCCATGAGCAAATATGAATGTACGTGAGAGAATCATGCAAGATTGTAGTTTAAAGACAGTAAATTCGACATTGCTAACCGAACGCTCCTCTGTGGCCGAAACGGTTAAGGCACGTCAAGCTATATGACGGTTCCGTATAGGATACAGGTTCGAATCCTGTCGGAGAAGGAATGTTTTCTATGAAAATATCTCGGACATTCAGGCCGGTAAATGTTGTTTAATACTGTTTATTATAAACAGAGCGCTTACTTGAATAATTTTATCTATAAAAAGAATGTATAAACATAAAGAAATAATTTGCGGGAAATTGTCCATTTCATAATGTGTGACGTCATAACTAGATGTATTTATCGCCTTATTAGCATATCAGAGTATTGCTTTCGTTGTGGGGACTTGGTTCCTGGACCTGACGTAATGCTCAGAAACTGTGCAGAGAAAAAAAACCTTTTTTTTTTAAATTTGCATTCTGCCTTCCCATCCGGCTGACATACAGAATTAATCAGAAAGAGATTTAATTTCAGCGGAGTATAAAACATGATAATATAATTCTTATTTTTCTTCATATTAAAAGTTACGCTGGAGACTTCTTTAGCGTTCAACGATAATGCTAAACATCCGATGAATACATCAAGTTATGACGTCACACACTATGAAATGGACAAAGTCCGACAATTCTTTCAATACATTTTTTTATGTTTATACATTCTGTTTTTATAGATAAAATATTTAAGTAAATGATCTGTTCATAATAAACAGTATTAACGACATTCACCGGCCATGAATGTCCGAGAATATCGGAGGACGCATATTTTCTATGAAAATTTCTCGGACATTCAGGCCGGTAAATATCGTTAATACTGTTTATTATAAACAGATCATTTACTTAAATATTTCTATGTATAAAAAGAACGTATATACATAAAAAAATATCTATAAATTTTCTTGTATTTGTATAATCGATACTTCCAGTTATTTACCCGCTATTGAAACAGTTAAAGAATAGAAAGAAAAAATATTTCAAGTGTTTAAAGCAGACCCCCAAAAGATTTTTCTTTCCATTCATTCATGGAAAACAATAGGCACTTCGTCTTTTATTTACCATCTCATGCTTACGCATGTGCAAGTCTCTCTTGTTGCCTTCTCGAACAAGCGGTCACCAGTTATTGCATTCTCCTGCAAGTTGGTGCTAGTTATCTGGATCAATGTGAAATTTCCCAGTCGTCCATGAATACATCTTTAATGCACTGTGCAAGGCAGCTTACTGAGCGTTGTCTTGTAGCCAGCCCGCCATACATAATATCATTTGATATGCGGCAATCCTTAATTAGATCAACAGGACCCAGCCATCGTATTCGTTGCTGGCAGATGAGGATATGTGAGTTTAAGACCTATTCTCTCCATTATGGCGGCATTAGTGAGTTTGTCTCATGTGGTTCAGATGATGCGACACAAATGTCTGATACGTATGCAATATTCATCTTTGAATTACTTGAATTAGATAGCTTGATACGGAAGATAATGTTGAAAATATTTGTATAAAATAAATGCATCTCTGATCAATATCTTTCGGATACACTAATGAAAAACTATTGTGTCTTCTTTTCTTTCTTTCTCTCTTTGTCATCATTATTATGTTTATTTATTTATTATATTTATTTATTATTTATTTGTTCTTATTTATATGTTTTATTGTTTATTTCATTTATCTTATTTTATTTTTATTTACATTGTTATGGAATATATATTAGTATAAATAATAATGAATTTTATTTTATCACCGCATATTTTTATTATAAATTTTATTAATTTTATTAATATTGTTAATATTATTATTGATTTTCATACAAAAAATAGAATTACCCCATTTGATTTCAAAACCTTCTTTTAATAACAACAGGGTCCCTTTTTTAAATTAAAATTTATAAAATTAGTTTCAATTTATTTTCAAACTTAAATGTTAATCTGGGACTAAAATCAAATACAAAATTAGACTACAATTCATTTAAATAATTAGCAACAATAATAATGCACACTAGCAATAAAATATCTCAAAATATTAAACGAGAGATGCTAAGACTAAAAATTCGCAATTGACGATTGAAGAAAGCATGAAACACCGAGTTGTGAAAGCAATGCAAGTTATTAAATAATATATATATATATATATATATATATATATATATATATATATATATATATAAACTCACTGGTGTCAAAAGTAGGTATACAGTAATATATATAATAATAATGGACTCTCCCGTCGGTTTCGCCGTAGGAGGATCTGACAGCTGAATCGATTCAGTTATGAAATTTTGTGCGATAATCTTAAGTGGCACTTAAGACCCCCTAATGATTTAGAAAAGAGGCCGTATATGGGGCAAGAGTGAGGATTGGGAGATAAGATCACGGTTAGATTGGCTGACCTTTTAGATCTTGCTCTCGATTCTTAAAGACGATTCAGACAAGCAGAGTGCTGAGTCTACTAAAACCGGTGGTTCTCCATTCTACCCGCTCCAAGGCTAAGCTCTCAAGGGTTTCATGTGGTATATTGACTGCTGACAAGTTGATTTTCAGCTTGTCTTTGTATCTTAGCCATAGGCGTTCTACATTCTTGTAGCCCTGATCTAACTGGCTGTACATTAGGATCTTGTCATCAGACATTTTCAAGACATGACCTTTCCACCGTAACTGAGACTGTATGATAAAAGTCTCGATTCCTCCAATATTACACCTGTTAAACAGGTCTACGTTAGACGTCCTATCTTGAAGGTTAACTCTACAAATGACACGCAGTCAGCTTTTATGAAAAACATCCAGCTGGCGTATACGTTACCTGTACAGAGTCCACGACTCTAAGCCATAAAAAGATGACAAGTACAACAGCTCTGTAAACCCGAATATTCATATCCTTCGAATACCCCGCTCATTCCACAAGCGATGGCGAAGTTAGCCGAAAGCAATGGTAGCCTTAGCAATCCGATGCATTATTTCATCATCTAAAGTTCCAATGTAATTGACTTTGCTACCAAGATAGGTGAAAAACTATACATAGTTCAGTGCTTTGTCTTCTACTTTCAATGGTCTCTCTGTAGATTGGTTATTTTTTTTTTCTTTCTCACCACAGAATTGCTTAGGACAAGGTTGGTGCACTACTTCAGTTTTCTTTATGCTAAGTGTAAGACCAAAGGCTTTACCTGCAGCAAAGAAACGATTTATTAGATGTTCGGCCGCCTCAAAGGATGTCGCAACAATACACACACACACACACACACACACATACATATATATATATATATATATATATATATATATATATATATATATATCAGGTCTTACAGTGAAGTTGTACATTTCGTGTAAGAGCATGTGATAATTATCCATTCCACAAAATGTTTATTATCTAAACTATTCGAGTTTCTTTTTTCCAAGTTTTCAGATAGGGCGTTTAGCCATCTTGACATCATTTGTTGTAAGAATCAACGAAATATCATTTGAGTTATTCAGCTAATAAGAGAACACGTTAAAGTCGATTTGTGTCAGCCCAACTGAGCAATGGTGAGAGGAAAAAAGATCATTCAAACAGTCTGTAATGATATCAACATTCATACTCAAGCTTGCATCTTCAAAGTCTATTCAACAACCATCAAGAGAACGGTGAATAATTAAAAAAAAAAGAAGGAACAGCAAAGAGGTAAACTGGATCAGGATGTCACAATTGCAATAGGGATCATCATTTCAAATTCATTCCTATTGTTCAAAACAGAGTGTTATAAAAATCACGGAGAATTCCGTTAAGATACATGTAATCATTTCTAAGATACAACAGTTCAGAGCTTAATCTAATAATTGTATAATTTCACTGTTACACAATTTGGACAATTTTGCTGTTACACCACGTACATATATACATTTTGTAAGAATATAACAAAATTGATAACTAACAATTGTTAGGGCATACCAAGTGTTGTAAGCTTGGGCGTGGAGGAATGGATAACGACTGGCAATCGAAAATCGGACAGACGAGTTCCAGTTCCAGGCGGGTTCGATATATTGACTTACGCGCGAATACCCATAGGAAAAGGTATGCATCAATACTTATCCCCATTTATGGGTTAAATTGTAACAGTAAATCATTATTATTACAAAATATTTTCGTAGAGAAAAATATTTTACCATATTAAAACTTTACCATATTTTAACATATGAAAATATGTTCTACTTTCGATTACCCGCAAAAGATTGATAAGCTGTAAAAAAAAACCAAATAGTTCAATCAAACTAAACATTTCAGATTTCATAGGACTCATCTCTTGTGATGTAACAATATATGCTCACGATCAGGTATAAACTGTTGTTTATAAATGTGCACAGACAGGAAAACCTGTAACATGTATAGTCACCGAAACATTAAACATTTTCGTTTTTTTTTTTTTTTTTTTTTTTTTTTTGTAGACGTGTCTAGGTATATGATCTAAACAAATGTTTTTTTTTATTATTTTGTTTAGTTTTTAACACTTTTGTTATTATCAAGCATTTCCTCCATTACTTCGTTGTAAAGTTTACAAATATTCCACGTTATTCTGTTTTAAGTCGTGGTTTGTTTGACAATATAATTTCAAAAGCAATTCATTGATTAAATGTTTACCTGAAATCTTTTAGAAAAGTTTATACACATCTATCTATCTATCTATCTATCTATCTATCTATCTATCTATCTATCTAAATGTATCTACCTGATTATATGCATCTACCAATTATCTTGCTATTTTTCATTAAAAATTAATTTTTTTTCAGAAATAATTACCTTGTTTTCTTTTCAGTTCTTTCGTTGTTGCTATTGAGAAATCAAACGAATCAGTCTTTCTCGCCGTATTAGATTTCCCGCGGGAATGCCAAATGCCAGAAGCTTTTAGATAAACTATTCAACCAATCGATATTTAATCAATACATCTGCGTTGGTCGGTCTTTTGTGTTCAATTGTTTCACATCTGTTTTGTTACACACACAAACACAAACACAAACACACACACAAACTCTCTCTCACACACACACACACACCGAAAAATAAATTTGTCAGCCCTGTTTTATAATGTATATATACGCACACATAGATATCGAATAAATTAATATCTGTTTCTCATAAATATTAAGTCGGATACATGTGCACAAACACACACACACACACACACACACACACATATATATATATATATATATATATATATATATATATATATATATATATGTTTATATATATAATTTCTAAAATTCTCTTTTGTATTTGTACTGTTGTATTGTGTTTGCCTTTATACACACGCACGTGAGCACCCACACATACACACAGACACCTATATATATATATATATATATATATATATATATATATATATATATATATATATATATATATATATATATATATATATATATATATATATATATATGAAGATACATGAAAAATGAAAAGGATAAGTAATTCTATAGACTAACATATTTAGTAGCTTTATATTTTTCATTGTAAATATACTTTTATATATATATATATATATATATATATATATATATATATTCACACATATCATTTGCTGACTTTTGTTTATTCGACATTAAATTAGGTTAAATAGTATCCTCCATAATTTACCTATACTTTTCGTTTAAAGCGATGAATATTTCTGACTGTCTTTCAAATTTAAAAAAAAATCAAAACCTAAGAACATATCTGCTTTTAAAAAGCTTGTTCAAAATAAAATCCTCACATTTGCTACATAAAGTTCCAAACGTACCTGCTATGTTGAGATTTCCTTTCGTATATATATATATATATATATATATATATATATATATATATATATATATATATATATATATATACTATATACTACCCAACGTTACCAGTGCTTGATTCAAAAATCATACGACTCATACAGCAATCGCTATCACTTGACTTAAAATATTTTTGCCCTTCCTTGCCTTTAAAGGAGTGCCCTTTCCCGTGCTGATTTTGCTACATGCCTTACTTCTTGCCTATCTCACACTGCTAATTTTGACGAAGCTCTATAATAAACATTACATCTGTTATGAAAAAAGAACTAAGCAAAATGAACACAAAACGATCAGCTTTAAAAAAAGGACTCGTAACTGGAAAAAACGAATGAAAAAAGAATGTTAAGAACAAATACTTTTTCACACCCAAACCAGTTCTGAGGAATCAGAATCAACGTTGAGTTTAAGCAAGCGAATGTGCCAATTGGAGTAAAGTGCCATGAAGTTTTAAATTTTTCCCACTTGTGACGAATGCAGCTATCGATGTTTTTTTTGCATGTTAGCATGCTGGTTAACATTCGTGTCAGTCAGCTGTTGGCTCTCACGCTGGCCAGTAGAATCTTCTTGCGTATTAGTGGCAGCCAGCTATTGGCTCTCACTCTGGCCAGTAGAAAATGGCCGCAAACTACATGAAAACTGCGGAAGAAGCATAAAAAATCACTTGTTTTCCACTATCGATGGGAGTTTGGAAATGCAAGACCGGTCTTGGACTTCCCGCTAACGTGGAGAATGTGCATGTAAATTTTGCTACAAATCCGTTGAAAATTGCGGCCATTGCATTCGTTACACACACACATCCTGCCGTATATATATATATATATATATATATATATATATATATATATATATATATATATATATATATATATATATATATATATATATATATATATATATATATATATATATATATATATATATATATATATATACACACACACACACACACACACACACACACACACACACACACGTTTTTTTTATAGATAAAAATATTTAAGTACATGCTCTGTTTATAATAATCAGTATTAACAACATTTACCAGCCTGAATGTCCGAGAATTTTTCAATGAAAATATGCGTCCTCCCACAGGAATCGAACATGTATCCTATACAGAACTGTCATATAGCCTGACGTGCCTTAGACTATTAAGCCACAGAGGTGCGGTCGTTTAGCAAGGTCGATTTTACTGTTTTTAAACACAATTTTTCATGATTTTCTCTCATTCATTCATATCTGCTCAATGCGCATTCAAATGGACAAAATCCGACATTCATTTTTTAAGACATTTAAATGTCTTAAAAACTAATTGTCGGACTTTCATATATATATATATATATATATATATATATATATATATATATATGTGTGTGTGTGTGTGTGTGTGTGTGTGTGTGTGTGTGTGTGTGTGTGTGTGTGAAGGACCACCATAATCACCTACGCCTGAAGTGACACAGTCCATAAAATATGAATAGTCTAACCGGCTGGGTGGATATTAGCAATCTTGAGGCCTAAAATCCTTATGTACATGCAAATCAGAGTCATTTACTCTACAAAAGCGCGCACAATTCATTTTCCTTAATACGAATTTTGCCAAAGGGAACTGTTTTTTTTCCATTCTAATTTTAATTTTAATCTCATGTTTAACGAACAGAATTATTTTTTTAAAAAAAGAACTTCTCAAACCAATGTAGAATTCTTCCACTCGCATCGTTACATAAAGCCAAGTAAACGCAAGAACGCATTCATATCCTTTCAAGTGGCCGCACGGTATTCCTACAGACCTCGAGGACAAATAGATTTCTGCCCATTAGATGGAGGAATGTTACTTTCAAATCTAATATAGTATACCCTCACCGATTATTATTCTTTGATTTTTTTACAGTGAAAAATTCCTGTCGCTTTAAATGTGATCCATAGGGCGAATGAAATTGAGAAATAAACTGTGCGTCAGGTATTTGAGAACTTTTTGTCCTTCTTTAATATACATCCGCATACAAATATCCTATCCATTATAACCGCTATACATCCGCATACAAACATCCTATCCCATATAACAGCTATAAATGCGCAGACAAACGTTCTATTCCATATAACCGCTATACATACGCATACAAACGTTCTTTCCATATAACCGCTATACATGCGCATACAAACATCCTATCCCATATAACCGCTATACATGCGCAGACAAACATCCTATCCCATATAACCGCTATACATCCGCATACAAACATCCTATCCCATATAACCGCTATACATGCGTATACAAACGTTCTATTCCATATAACCGCTATACATGCGCATACAAACATCCTATCCCATATAACCGCTATACATACGCATACAAACGTTCAATTCCATATAACCGCTATACATGCGCCTACAAACATCCTATCCCATATAACCGCTATACATGCGCATACAAACGTTCTATTCCATATAACCGCTATACATCCGCATACAAGCATCCTATCCCATATAACCGCTATACATGCGCAGAAAACATCCTATCCCATATAACCACTATACATCCGCATACAAACATCCTATCCCATATAACCGCTATACATGCGCATACAAACGTTCTATTCCATATAACCGCTATACATCCGCATACAAGCATCCTATCCCATATAAACGCTATACATCCGCATACAAGCATCCTATCCCATATAACCGCTATACATCCGCAGACAAACATCCTATCCCATATAACCGCTATACATGCGCATACAAACGTTCTATTCCATATAATCGCTATACATGCGCATACAAACATCCTATCCCATATAACCGCTATACATGCGCGTACAAACGTTCTATTCCATATAAACGCTATACATGCGCATACAAACATCCTATTCCATATAACCGCTATACATACGCATACAAACGTTCTATTCCATATAACCGCTATACATGCGCAGACAAACATCCTATCCCATATAACCGCTATACATGCGCATACAAACGTTCTATTCCATATAACCGCTATACATGCGCATACAGACATCCTATCCCATATAACCGCTATACATGCGCATACAAACATCCTATCCCATATAACCGCTATACATGAGCATACAAACATCCTATCCCTTATAACCGCTATACATCTGCATACAAACATCCTATCCCATATAACAGCTATACATGCGCAGACAAACGTTCTATTCCATATAACCGCTATACATGCACAGACAAACATCCTATCCCATATAACCGCTATACATGCGCATACAAACATCCTATCCCATATAACCGCTATACATGAGCATACAAACATCCTATCCCATATAACCGCTATACATGCGCATACAAACATCCTATCCCATATAACCGCTATACATGCGCATACAAACATCCTATCCCATATAACCGCTATACATGAGCATACAAACATCCTATCCCTTATAACCGCTATACATGCGCATACAAACATCCTATCCCATATAACAGCTATACATGCGCAGACAAACGTTCTATTCCATATAACCGCTATACATGCACAGACAAACATCCTATCCCATATAACCGCTATACATGCGCAGACAAACGTTCTATTCCATATAACCGCTATACATCCGCATACAAGCATCCTATCCCATATAACCGCTATACATGCGCAGAAAAACATCCTATCCCATATAACCGCTATAAATCCGCATACAAACATCCTATCCCATATAACCGCTATGCATGCGCATGCAAACATCCTATCCCATATAACCGCTATACATGCGCATACAAACATCCTATCCCATATAACCGCTATACATGCGCAGACAAACATTCTATTCCATATAACCGCTATACATGCGCATATAAACATTATTATCTTCGATTGTGGCCTTGATGTGGCTTCTAAAATGATTACATGCATTGATCCGGTATTCTTCATTCATGGTGGTCATGATGAGTCCTATGTAAGTTTTATTAAGTACTTTCTACTGTGTGCACGCTTGTCTTCTATTAAACGATTATGCAGACCATAAGGTTTAAATCAGAAGAGCAAAGTGGTCAAAAGTCAGGATTACGCCTGATAATGAAATATCTTTACATTGTTTAGCAAGCGGTTCGAGCGGATCACACGGTACGGCCGAATACTATCAGAAATAAACTGACCTTTCCTTAGAATATAAGATGTGTATATGATATTTTCTTCACTAAGATGGCTGTTTGCACCAATGGATGTATCTGTTTAGGATTTAGCCTCATTGATTTTCCGCGATTCTCGCCTGTGGTACCTTTACTTGCTGGAAGAACTCTGAAAGTCTCTAACCGATGATTTTTTTGCCACTGAAGACACATTCATCCCAGAGTCCATAGTTTTGTTTCTTAACTAAAAAGACAAATGATCTCGCGATATTTAAGAAGGTTAAATCTCCGAATCTGTGAAGTTGGTAGTACCATCAACGAGAATGGCATGCTATGTTACAATCGAAGCTTTCATGGTTGCGCCGAAAGAGTTAAAGTTCGTCAATTATAATTGTAAAAAGACGTGTTCTCAAATACCTGAGACACATTGTATATGTAGGATAATAAATTGTTGATCCTAGACTGAAGAAACTAAGATTATAGTGAACAGGGAAGCATCATCTCGGGATCCTGTTCCACAAAGTGAAAGTTCAGGGGAATTGACTACCCGTCTCTTCTTCTTACTAAAGTTGAAGCCGTGTTCATGTCATGATGGGCCCAAGTATTGAAGATCTCAACTGGTGGAATTAAGGAATGTATGAATATTTGGCAGTGAAACAGCGATTTATTAACGAAAAGCAGTAAATTAATACATCATCTACAGGGCCGCGTAATAGTTTTTTAATGCTAGACAGTGAGCACTCCATTTTTTGGTCAGATTCTTCTCTTGCGAAGATGAAGTATGGCTCTATGTGTCAGGTAGTTTATTTAACGGTACTCAGAAGAGAAAAAAGCATCTTTAGCGATGGCATGAATAATCGAATTAATCACTTGTCATCTGGAGAGAGCTTTAGTTACTATAGATATTTGTGGCATAGAGATTCATTGAGAAGATAAATTCTCATCAAGACTGGAATAAATTTAGGGTCTACTCGGTGGTGAGGAAACGTTACTAGCTAATAAAGTTAAAAAAAAATACTAATAAAGAGCAGGTTGCTTATTTTCATTAAATTATCCTAAGACATGCATCACAAATGTCCTCTGACAAGTAGGTGGCAAAGGTTGACTATTGACGCCTAATGACCAGCTTGGGTTAGATGAAGCTCGTCAACTCACAAAGGCAGTTAATCAATGGAAAGGTAAGAAAACACTAATGTTGAAAATCCTCTGCCATGCAAAACACGGAAAGGTTTATAAAAGTAAACCCAGACAGAAAATCCGAAGAGAAGCTCCGAAAGTGCTTGGCTATAAACACTGACAACCTTCCGAAAATTCCTGTAATCAAGCCGACCCCAAAAGTAATGACTTATATTTCTTGTAGGTACGGTTGAAACTGGGGGCTATGTGATCTTAACAGCGCATGGCTTTCACAGGTTATTGCGCAAGACTGAGCCCTGGTGTAATTATTCCAGTCTTACCATTAAAGGATAGATTTTGGCCAATCAGGACTTTATCTCGCGAGATAAAAAAAATGCTTCCTACTATTTGGTGACGAAATTTTAAAAGATCCCTAACGCTGATAATGAAAATCAATTTACCTTACAACTACTTTTCCACAGAGGTAACGCCGCGAGCCTCTCATTACGAGCCTCTATTGCGAGACGTTCGCTACGAGCCTTTCGCTACGAGGCTCTCATTGCGAGCTGTTCGCTACAATCCTATCGCTACGAGCCTCTTTTGCGAGCCGCTCGCTGCGAGCCTTTCGCTACGAGCCTCTCATTGCGAGCTGTTCACTATGAGCCTTTCGCTACGAGCCTCTTTTGCAAGACGCTCGCTACGATCCTTTCGCTTCTAGCCTCGCACTGCGAGCTGTTCGCCACGAGCCTCTCGCTATTAGCGTCCCGCAGCGAGCCTCTCGTTGTGAGGTGCACGCTACGAGCCTTTCGCTAAGAGCCTCTCGTTGCGAGCTGTTCGCTTCTGAGCCTCTCGCTGTAAGCCTCTCGTTGCGACACTCTTTACGAACGGCTCGCTGCGAGCCGCTCGCTGCAAACCGCTCGCTGCGAGCCGCTCGCTTCTGAGCCGCTCTCTACGAGCGGTTCGCTACAAGCCCCTCATTTCGAGCTGTTCGCTACGAGTCTCTTGCTGTGAGCCTCTCGTTGCGAGTCGCTCCTTCTGAACCTTTCGCTAGAGCCTCTCGTTGAGATCCGCTCGCTACGATCCTTTCGCTTCTAGCCTCGCACTGCGAGCTGTTCGCCACGAGCCTCTCGCTATTAGCCTCCCGCTGCGAGCCTCTCCTTGTGAGGCGCTCGCTACGAGCCTTTCGCTAAGAGCCTCTCGTTGCGAGCTGTTCGCTACGAGCCTCTCGCTGTAAGCCTCTCGTTGCGACACTCTTTACGAACGGCTCGCTGCGAGCCGCTCGCTGCGAGCCGCTCGCTACGAGCCCCTCATTTCGAGCTGTTCGCTACGAGTCTCTTGCTGTGAGCCTCTCGTTGCGAGTCGCTCGCTACGAGCCTTTCGCTAAGAGCCTGTCGTTGAGATCCGCTCGCTACGAGCCTTTCGCTACGAGCCTCTCGCTCTGAGCCACTCGCTGCGAGCCACTCGATACGCCTCACGCTGCTCTATTTCTATTTTCATAGCATGTGTTATGAAGAACTACATTCCATAGTCCCATCGCCCCCGACTTTTACCAATGGCATCAACCATCTTCGTACACAAGGGTAAATCATCCCCATTCTTTTCATATTCATAGTAAGGATATATATATATATATATATATATATATATATATATATATATGGAAGCAAATATATGGATACAGATCCGACTGTATGAAGAAAAATATACAGAAAAAATAAACAAAAATCTTAATATGCAATTATGCTATATTAATGTTAATATAAAGTCAACGTCGGACGTTTCGGTCTATTTTAGACCATTTTCATGTTCTAATGTTAATTATGTTTAATGAAAATGTCCTGAAGATGTATATTTTTCGTCATATATATATATATATATATATATATATATATATATATATATATATATATATATATATATATATATATATATATATATATATATATATATATATTAAGAAGACAAGGTGGAGTAATGAATCATAGCCGAGTTCGAATTCCATTGGATCCATTACACTCATTAAATGGTAATAATCTTGAGAAAAGTTTGAATTCTCTCCCCCGCCCAGCCCAGAGATGGTTAAACAGCAAGATGGAGTGTGTTCCATAGCCTCGGGTTGCAGCCCGTTTAGGAGAAGGTAACTTTGAATTCAAATCTGTAATTAGTCCTGTCGTAGGCCATACGATGCAACAAAAGAAAGGATTGTTCGTATTGACTCGATGATCCCGACGACGGTCAAATGATGAGGAGGAGGGGTATGAAGTTACATTCGTACAGTTTGTTTCCAAGAAATATGGCTTTGAAGAACTATCCCAATAGGATGGTTTCCCTAATCATTAAACTCTCGATATCTTCAAGTCTAGCTGTGTCTTTCCTGCGTAATTTAATTTCTTACTCTTTCTTACGTTCATATAACACCACGCATTAAAGCTCTACCTTCAGTGGCACTTCGGCCTTGCATTAGACGAACATTAGCACAGAAAAATATGGAAGTACAACTGGCATTGTAATTAAGGAAAATATTGTTCTTGTTTTTTTTTTACAATTTTGAATTAAAGGTTTATTAGGTGCTTACTGCCTAAGTACTGCCCATTCATTTAACAAATGTGATGTCTTATTATCAAATAATTGAAGAGAAATTAACAATCTCTTTAAGAGAATGCATTAAAGGGATTCATTTAATTTTCTTCGTGTACGCACGCCCCTCTTTTAACTTGAACACGACCTAAATAAGTGTGTAATCATTAAGGCGAGAATTAAAACTATTCATTTAATCGATCAATTGAGAACAAAGGATAGGAAAAAAAAAACCCAGAACAAATAACAATTTCAGAAGCACAAAAATAGTTTCACCTGTGTATACCAATTTCAAATATGAAATCACAAGCCTGTGACGCGTCTGGAAGTTATTGTTTTACGTTGTTTTTGCGCCGTTCATTCCGATTTTAATTTCTGTCCATAACAGGTGATCGATAACACGCAAAACATATCAAAATAACAGAGTAAAATAAAAGAGAAGGAAGACAAAGATATGAGGAACGATTCAAATCACAACTGATGAGTTGAACATTACAAGCTTAATTTAATTAGCTTCGATATGAGGCAAAGAGAGTTCAAATAGATTCTGATTGAGTTAACATCGATCTGCGTGAATGTTTGCCTCTGGAGCTAATTTTAATTATGTTGTCATAATTTTGCAGATACAAAATAAACTCTTCTGCTCTCGCAGGAACATAAAGGCGCCGACAAATGTTAACAAACATCTATAAATGCGTGTATACATCAATATCATATATATATATATATATATATATATATATATATATATATATATATATATATATATATATATATATATATATATATATATATATATATATATATATATATATATATATATATATATATATATATATGTATATATATATATATATATATATATATATATCAGTGTATATACATATATATGAGATACGTTAAGAAGTATATTTGTGAATGTATATATATATATATATATATATATATATATGGATTCACGATAGATTTTAGCATGAACTGAAAAGAGTGTTGCCAATGGGTGTTGATTCGATGCCCTCTTTAATATACAGTAGCGGCCACAAAATAACGAACGGAAAAAACAAAGGCATAAATATTTGTATTGCTTAAAAATAATCCATGATTACCAATGAAACTTTTACCGAATAATGATTAGGGTGTAATGTATAAAGATTATACAAAGTTACAAAAATTTACTTCATAGTTTTTGTTGTTTTTTTAAATAAAGATTAAATGGAACAAATGAAATAAGCTACAGGACAAAAAGTTAAGGATCGATGTTAATAATTTACATATACTTTTAATTCACATTGTTAAAAACTCGATAGAGCTTTTCAGCAATAAGTAAAAGTTCATTTATCATACGGACATTCTTTTTAAGTAATATGACAAAATCTACATGCAAAAGGCTCTCTTTTGAAGAAAAAAAAACTCATTATCGCTAACTATCAAGAAAAAAAGTCAATTTCAGAAATGTCTGATAGTGTTCAAAGGTATAAAAGTGCCATTCATCGTGTAATTAGCAGGTACAAAACCGATAAAACCTTAGATGCAAAACAAAAAACCGGCAGACCTCCAAAAACATCGCAAAGAGAAGATCGAAGAATTGTTAGAATATCGACAAAAACCGTTTTGAAACTGCTACATCAATTGCCCGTAAATTTAATGAAGAGACAGATAATAAGATCTCAAGGAAAACGGTTGCTCGCAGGTTAAAAAATGCAGGATTGCATGCCCGTATTCCAGCTTCGAAGCCTCTCATTTCAAAGCGAAACCAAAGGGCACGCCTGGAGTATGCGAGAGAACATGTTGTTTGGACTGACGCACAATGGGATACAGTTCATTTCAGTGACAAGTCCAAGTTTACTATATTTGGTGCTGAAGGCAAAACTTACGAACGTCATAGAACAGGTGAAAGACTATCTTCTCAATGTCAAGAAAACCGTTAAGTTTGGTGGCAGCAGTGTGATGGTGTGTGGAATGATTTCATCTGCAGGAGTTGGCCCTGTTATCCGCATACATAGCAATATCAATGCTGAGATTTACAAAAGGCTTCTTCAGCATCATGTGGTACCAAGATTACACCATAATCTTTATGAATCTCATATTTTCATGCATGATAATGCACCTTGCCACAAGGCGCAGAAGGTTATGGCTTTATTTGAAGAAGAAGGAATTGCTCTAATGAAGTGGCCAGCCCAGAGCCCCGATCTGAATCCAATAGAAAATGTTTGGAAGATAATTGGAGAAAGGGCTCAGAAAAGAAACGCCAGGATCACCTATGGGTGTTATTGAAAGACGAATGGGAGGGAATTACTGGTGATTTTTGCAAGAAATTAATTAGATCATATGGTCGATGATGCAGAGAAGTCATTGAAAGTAAGGGGATGTTTACTAAATATTAAATTTTGTTGACATTTTGTTCACAATAAAGTATTAACAAGATCGTACCTTAACTTTTGTCCAGTAGCTTATTTCCTTTGTTCCATTTAATCTTTATTACAAAAAGAACTATTACCTAAATTTTTATAACTTTGTATAATATTTATGCATTACACCCTAATCTTTATTTGGTAAAAAATGTCATTGCTAATCATGCATTACTTTTTAAGTAATACACATATTTATGTCTTTGTTGTTTTCTTTCTTTATATTATAGCCGCTACTTGATACATACAGCCTGGTATACCTATAGTTTACCATAAATCTATATTTCAATATATATATATATATATATATATATATATATATATATATATATATATATATATATATATACGCATGTATATATTTTAGATGTATGTATATATGTGTCAGTCTATATATATATATATATATATATATATATATATTTTTCTTTTATTATAGGTGAAGTTCAATTTATAATTACATGAATCATTCATACAAAAAACAAACATATTAACCTCTATATTTTTTATGAATGATTCATGTAATTATATATATATATATATATATATATATATATATATATATATATATATATATATATATATTCATTCGAAAATTATGACATAAATATGTTATAAAATAACTACAAATAGCCATTTTGTTCCAACACTTCTGGTGTCTTATCAATTGATGGTGTTGAATGTAGAATAAAGAGTTTTAAAAGGTTCAAATCTATTCAAACATCCCACGCTAGGGGAAACGCTGGTGCATAATCTGGAATGACCAATCAAAATACAATATATGAGAATTCAAAAAACTTTACAACGAACCTTGGTTATAATAATTAACTAATGCTTTAATGTTAGGTTTATATTAAAGTAGAATACAGTCTAACTAATTAATATTACAGCTTACTATAAAATTAAAAATTACCAATTTTAAAACTTAAATTTAAGTTTTAAAAAAATGATAAAATTATTTAAAGACGAAACTTAGCAAATGTTTCGTTATTTTTTTTGTTTTTATTGAAAGGCCAAAAATTCAGTTGTAATAAAATCTAATGTTGCTCTAAGCTTCGTTACAAGTTAGATGCATTCGAATTTATGATATGGACAGTGGAGGGTGAAATCTTGCAAAAGACAATACATACTCAATCAGATATAATAGACATAGACATATTTAGATATATAAACACGCAAAAAAGCGACGAAACAGGAATTAAGTGTACACGGCCCTTAAAAAAGAAAAAAAAAAACCGACAACATATACATATAATGAAAGGCACATATAAGCGATTATGCGCACGTACAATGGTAAAGATACCCACATATACACACCAAGAAATATTCAAATTTGAATGTGTTAGTAAACGAATTCAAACATACTATTAAAATATAACATATACGAGCAAAGATACATAGATAAAAATGTATGAATAGATAAAATTCAATATGGGTAGAATAGATAATCCACTCTT